CCCCCCCCCCCCCCCCTCCGCCGTCGAGGCGGGCATGCGGCCAGCGGCCTCCCCCGGGAGGAGGAGGAGGAGTCACGGTTCCTCCTCCGCCCCCGCTCCGCGTTGTGGCCCGACCGCTCCCCTCCCCAGGGGAAGCGCACTGAGTCACGCCACCTCCTCCTTCCTCCCGGGCCACCCCGGAGGAGCGGGGGGATGGGAACCGGCCGTGACTCGAGGCACGTAGACAAGGCCCGAACTATCCGCCAAGCTCAGGGAAAAAAAAAAAAAAAAAAAAAAAACCCACAACCGAGGCTTCCGAAGGCCGCGCAACACCGCAGAACGCGCCCGGCGTGCGTCACTTACCTGCTAGAGAAAAAGGACGCACCGGCGCCGATATCGCTACGCACCGAAGCCTGCGCTGCCCTGACAACAACCGACTCCGTCAGCAGCTACCCCCACACTGCGCCCTCCCCGCCGCGGGGACGCGGTTTTTATAGAGGGGGCGGCACACGGCGCGGTGACCTCACAATGCCTGGAAGCAGCGCGCCGCTCGATTGGCCGGGACCTCCGCCGGCGCCGTGACGTAATAAGACACAAAGGCCGTGCTCCTGTTCCTTGGCGCTGATTGGGTGCCTGCCCGGCCGCTGATTGGTTGTTAAAGTCGGCGGCTGATTGGATATTGTGAGACTAGAAGGGGCCAATAGACGTCGGGCGGGCGCTCTGCGCGCTGATTGGACGAAACGGGGCATGGTTTGGATCCTACCCTTTGTTGCAAAGCTCCACAATGGGAAGTCAATAGGAGCGGGGCGAGCGGCGGCGGGGCGCGGCGGGGCGGCGGGCGGCGGACTCCTGGCTCCCCGGACCTCAGCGGGCGGTCCCGGAGCAAAGGCTGCTCGGCCCCGCCGCCTGCCGGCCCGCCCCTCCGGCCCCGCCACAAAATGCCTTTCGCGGCGTTCGGTGCGGAGACTGCGAGCGGCGGGGCCGGGCCGCGCCGAAGGGAACGGCCGGGCTCCCCCCGGTCGTGGGGACAGCGGGGACACGCAGACGCTGGGCGCATGCTATGGGCTGGCTCGGCTGGTATCGGAGGAGAGGTGGAGGAGCTTGTTGTATGGGCTCGCTAAGGGACTGCCCGGTTCGGCACCGTGCAGCTCCAGCCCCATCGCGGCGCTTACAGCGTCCGTCCTCTGGCTTTATGAATGGGAGCAGCCGTATTGTGCGATAGGAACGCTGGCCACAGGATTTGGTTTTGAATCGGGGCAGTCCTACTGATGTGTTGCCCTCCAAAAGGCACCGCTACTCCCTGCCAGCGGGAACGTCACCCTGGGACATGCGTGTCCTGGGGGAGAGCCTGGTAGTGTGCAGATGCTGCAGCTGGGCCCCTCTGTGCTGCTGTTCTCCACCTCCCTAAAACCACATTTCCACTCACTTTGTGGGTTGTCTTCTAACTCCATAGCTAATTACAAAGTTCTGGGAAGTAGGAAACCAAATCCTTAATGCCTGTTGGTTGCATCTAGGAAGATAATAGCAATTAAGTGAAAAGTTGTATTTTGGAGGAGGTTGCTCCCTCCAGTTGTGCCTTACTGTATGCTGTTATGTTATTATATTCACAGCAGCTGCTGGGGGTGGAGGCAAGTCCTGCCCCCATGGTCAGGAAGAACAGGTCCCAAATGCCCTGCAGTTGTAGCACACAGAACATGGAGTGAACGCAAACAGCCACTCCCGAAGGTATCTGCACTGAGCGCGCAGATGCAATCAGGCAGACTTTGCATGAGGTTTTGCATCCTCCCCAAATGCCTGCATCCCTCAGGCCAATGCCTGGTGCAAGAGCAGATCTGTGGCGGCTCCGCACGTAGCGTTCTTTGCTTCTCCCCTTCCTTGCAAGTCGAGCAATGCGCTCCAACACGGTGCTACAGGAATGTCATGTGCAGCTGCTGGGGGGACGCTGCCTCACGTGCATCTATTTGGTCCCCAACCACCTTTGCAGGTTAATTTTCTTTTGGTCCTCGTGAAGAAAAACACGAATTACTTCTCAGAGACAAAAAGCGGCGCAGCAATAGGATGGCCCAGAAGGTGCGTAAACAGTCATTTGCATTCGACGTGGCTTGGAAAATTGAGATCTGAAATAAAGAGCTGCCCTTTAATCCGAGTTGTTCATGCTTGGGAAAAAAGAAACCTAGAAATCTGTTCTGATAGCTTCGTGTATTTTAAATTTGATGTTTGTAGAAGCGTACCATATTATTGCTGACGTGAGGGGACCAGAGCATGGTGTTTGTTATCAGGAGTTGAAAGGCATTGCTCCTCTGATATTTCCTCTCCTATTTCTGTTGCAACGATTGCTTACACTTCTAAATTTAGACACTTTTGAGCTTTGTTCTCTTGGAATTAAGACTGAAGAAAAGCTCTACGTCCCAGTAGGTTAAACAGAGGATGAGGAAAAGGCGTATGCAGCAAAGCTGAGGAGAGAAAATGAACACTCTGTGTTAGCAAAGATGTGTGCGCAGATAGAGGTAAGTGCACCCAGGGCACACATAGCTGCGTGCTCTGAGCACTGTCACCTGGCAGAGTGCTGCATGTTCCCGACTGCAAAACAGAAGACAGCTGAAGAGGAAGCAGCATCTGCATTGGCTTGTCAAGTAAACAAAAAAGCAGCACACAATGCCTGGAGTCAATGCTTTCCGAATCCCTCTGCTTCAGCATTAGCAGCTGTTTGTCGAAGGTCTTTTTCCTGCAGCTTCATTGCTGGTGGTGTTTGTGCATTAGACACAGAGGTGCATACACATAGGTATTAATTGAAAGACTTCCACGTATACTCTTCTTGAAAAGTTGCCCAACTTGATCAGAAGCTGTATAATTACGGCTGGACCTCCTGGGGAGGGGCGGTACATGGATGTTGTGTTGGTGGCATATGGCTGAGCCCTGCAGACGCAGGGAAAGAGCTGCCAACATCCCACAGTCGGTGCTGCACCACTGCGAGCAGCGATTCAAAGAGCAGTTTGCCTCAATGGCACAGACCAGGCCTGAGAGTTTATCATTAACACCACCCAACCCCTGCCAAAGGTTTCATAAACAAATACAGGTGCTTGCCATTTAAACGCTTGGTGCCCTTTACCATGCAACCAGAGCACCGGTGAGTGAAGCTGTCCCATGTGGTGCAAGGGATCAAAGTCCCAGCAGAGCAGCTCGGTGCTTCCTGTGGGGTGGGGTGCCGTTGTCCAGGAGGCTCCGTGTCGAGCACGGCCGGGCCGAGGCACGTAGGCCTGAGCTGACCTGGAGTCCCTGAGGGTTTTGTGTCACCTGCCCTGAGGTAGGCCACCAGCTGCTTCCCAGATCCTCCTCCTCACCTTCCTCCTCCTCACCTTCCTCTTCTTCATCTTCCTCCCTGTTCTCTTTCTCCTCATTTTCCTCCTTCTCAGCCCAGGCCCTGTCACAGGCCCGGGCCATGGGCCCCCACCGCACGGGGGCGCCGTCGCGCTCTACCCTGAACTGCAATTCCCGTCATCCCCCTCGCGACCGGAAGCAACTTCCCCCGCCGCCGCGGAGCGCCACTGGGAGTTGTAGTCCTGACTTCCGGAAGTCGCCGCAGGCCGCGTCCCGGGTTGGCGGAGAGCGCGCGCGCGGCCGGACTACAAGTCCCACCCCACCCCGCGCACCGGGGCGGCAATGGCGGCGGCGGCGCCTGCGCGCGGCGCCCTCCGTGCGGACCGCGCAGAGTGAATAATAAAGGTCTCCTCGGCGGGAGCGGCGGCGGCGGGTGGGAGGCATGTCCAAGGGCCCGGTAGCGAGCGGCCCTGCCGCGACCGGGCCGGCGAACGCCGCCAGCGCGCTGCAAGCGCAGCCCGAGAAGCCGCAGCACTACACGTACGTAACGAGAGCTTCCCCCGCCGCCGCCGCCCGCGCGCCAACACGCGCCTGACGTCAGCGTGCGGCACGCGCCGAACCCCGCGCACCGCCTCGCGCCGCACCGGCTGCGACCGGCCCCGGGCGGGGGGGGGAAGGGGGGGGAATGGGGGGGTTGGAGGGAGAAAGGGGGGCCGGGCGGGGAGCGAGGGGCGGGGGGAGCGGATCCCCCTTTTCTCCCGCCCGCCGCCGCCGCTGCCGCCACGCCCGGCATGCACCGGGGCCCGGAGGGGCGGGGGGCCGCGTTCCATCGGGCTGCGGCGGGGCCTCGGTGGGATGCGGCCGGCTGACGGCGCGGGGCGGGGGCTGTCAGCATGTGGGGGCTGTCAGCGAGGGGCTCGGCCCTGTGATGGGTGTCTTTTGGGGGAAAAGTCGGCTGTGGGAGGCGGGGCGGGGGTGTGTGAGGTGAGCCCGGGCTGTGCTGGGTGTTGTGTGTGCACTGAGTGCTCTCCCAGGGAATGGCGTAGGACTGAGGGCTCTGCTGACCCCGCTGTGGGTCCCCACTTATGGGGAGAGGTGACTGAGGAGGTCAGGAAGGATGAAGGGAGCTCAGGTGTTGTTCCGTTGGAAGAATAAAGTTAGAGAGCGTTTGTAAATCAACTTCCCTCCTTGTTCTCCTTGTGCTGCACACCTGTAGGGCAAAACAGCACGGATCTCCCCTGCTTCTTGCACACGTTGGTGCCCCGGTGCAAAACTGAATTCAAACTCTATCAGTACAGATCCGTGTGCCTCCTGTAGGGCTGTCAGCTGCACACCCAACCTGGGCTGTGCACAATGTCAGGTCTGCCGTAGACTGAGGGTGGAAATCCTGTGGTGATCCTTATGAAGCTGCAAAGCACAGGTCCACAGGTGGCTTTATTTCTGGTGGTTAAAGTTTGACAGCCCTATAGGAGTGAAGGAGGCAGAAGTGCATGGATGCATTGGGTCCCTGGACAGGGAAGTGATGGTCAAAGTAAAAGGGAAAGCCCAGGGGAGATGTGAGATGTGACACAAAAATAAGGCTGCGGGGACATCAGGTAGAGGGAAATGGAGATGGTAGCATGGCTAAGCATGGCTGTGGAAGGAAGGATGTCAAAGATCAAGAAAGAAAGGGTGGAAGAAAGCTTAGGAAATAGAAAGAGAAGGAGGAAGATTTGGGACCAAGCAGCTGAAAAGGACAGAGGAGGAAAACAGCGCGCTGTGGAACAAAGGTGATGGTGTAATTAGCTTTATTTCCGGAGGGGAAAAGCACTTATTTGCGGATGGATGCTAAAAATAATTCAGTGAAAACAGTTGGAAGAGCGCTTTAACCATACGTGAGAGATGGGTTTGGGGCTGCAGAGCGAGCCGTGCTTTGGGAATTGTGCAGTAGGTCACATCGTGCTGCAAACTCCTCCTGATAACATATGGGAACTTACTTGGTGGTCGTTGATGTAAAAAAGTTGTATGTTGTCAAAATGTAAATATTTTCTTCCCCCCCTTTTTTTTTTCTTCTTTAAATGTAGTTTGTTTCCATAAAGTGACACGAAGGTTACGAGTTGTAAACTCAAGGAAGCTTAATTATCTGCATGCTTTGCTGTTCCCTGGGGACAGGCAATCTGGTACCGTGGATCTCTGGGAAGTTTGTGTTGTATTTATTAGGAATGGTTCCAATTTCTATATTAGTGTCAATTTCTAAACTCTTGGTATTTGTGTGAGATTTTTAGGTAGTTTGTAATGCAGTTCTATATCTTGTCTGGAAGCCTTTGCTTATTCTAGATGTGCAACAAAATAAAAGCTGGACAGAATAGAATTACTGATGATATCCCACTCCCTTTGGTGCAGTTTGCTCGCAGAAGAGGAATCTTAAAGCCCCCTTTGATTACGTCCTTGCTGGCTGTTGCAGGGTGTAGCTGGATGCTCCTGGAGACATTCTGGTTCCACGCTTCCCTATTGAATTATGAATGTTGTATTTCACACCTGAGGATCTGATATTCTGTTTGTGGAATTCAAGTGAGAGACTCAGCAGCTGCTGTTACACTCACTCGGGTTATTGGATCACAGGTCTGCGTGGGGCTGTTCCTTGTGATCCCACAGCTGCTGGAGCAGGATGAGCTCTGTGGGTGCCACGGGTGCAGAGCGTGGCTCGTTGCTCAGGTAGCTTTGGTCTTTGGGAGATACACTGTGCAGCTTAGCAGGTCGTGTGTCCTGGGAAGTGGGTTTGCTTTGGGGATGTTCCATCAAACCTCAGCTGCTCATTGACTCGGTGCTGTTCTCAGCTCTGGCTGGTTGTTGCAGCTCATGGTTGTTGCTGCGTGCATCTCCGTCTTTAATGTGTTATTACAAATGTGAATAGAGGCTGAGTTCAAAGAAACTGAAAGTAAACCATCAGTCACTCAGTGCTGTAGGTGCTGAGCGCCGCTGTAGCGCTGGGTTTTGGCACACTCTGTCCATTTGGCTGTCACTGTTGTCATTGGTTTTCAGTCAGAGCAAACTCATTAATTGTGAATTATTAAGGCTGTATGCTGCTCGGCTGTTTATTGATCACACAGAATTTAGATAAGTGCAAGCAGAACAGTGCTTTGTTTGCTGTGCATTCACCTGAAAGTCAGACAGCTTAATAACTCCGCAGGAAAGGAGATGTTCAGGTGATGACGAATTAATCCATTCAGTTAGAACAAAGCCAAACAGAAGTGCATTCATTCTGGTCTGTTAAAAATGCATGCATTCAAAAGCAGCATTGAAAATATTCCGAGGTAGGTTATAAACTCCTGGGCACATTGGGCAGGTCATCCCTACTCGTGATAATTCTTTTGGGTGTGCAGGTTTTAAATACGAGCTGCTGTCTTGGGGACAAACGTGCAGCTCCTGTATCGCTGCAGGCTGTGCCTTCACTCGAGGTCTGGGCCTGAGAGGGCATCCCATCCTTCCTCATGCAGCAGCAGCAAAGCTCTGTGGATGTGCCTTTGCAGCTTAAAAGGCAAAACCTTGACTTCTTCAGGAGGGGAAGGAATTGTGGGAAATTCCTGAAGGATTAATGCCATGTACTTTGTGCTCTGCCTGCATCCACAGGGTTGGTTGTGAACTGATGGTAGAGGCTGCTGGGCTGCACTCACCAGGGCTTTATCTTGCAATCTTTTTCTGCCGGGCGAAAGGAGCCGTGCACTTGAGCTGTAAGTGGTGATGAAAATGAGGCTGATGGAATGTTGTAACTCAAATTAACTTTGTATCCAAGGCGTTCCTGTGTCTGCCTGTTTGAGGAGCGCCTTGCCTAGTGGTTCTCAGCTTTAAGTAGGAACTCGGATTACAGCAGTGACAGAAATGCAGAATGAAGAAGAAATAAGAACAGCAAGATCACAGATGGATTGATTCCAATGAAGAGCTTGCAAGCGAAGCCTTACCTGTCTCAAAATCTTACATTTAAATTCCTATTCAGAAGCAACAAACACACCTGAAAGCATTTATAGTAGCAGAGAGCAATCCTTATCTTCCTATCAGTGGACAGTGTTTGATCGCTATCGGGGCAGCACAGTGTGGCTGATCTCAGCTGTACAGACTGGCTGCCTGTGGAAATAAAACCAAAACCCAGGTGTGAAGTGAGCACATTGTCAGTCAGTGCTTTTCTGTACGTGGTTTGCTCTTCTAGGACCCTTAGCACTTGCACTAAAAGATGTGTGCTGTTAAATGATGCTTTGATGTGCCTGGGCTGGCTGGTTTTTGCAATGCAGTGAGGAGGTTAAGTCTTAAGAAATCGGTTTTAGAAGCCTGTGGGCTTCTTAACCTAACAAAACTCTGAAATAAGTGTTGAGTCTGAGTGTTGCCCTCATTGCTCTGCTTTTCCTTAGATGAACAAAATGATATGGACTTAGGCAAGCATAGGATCTATCTGTTGTTTAAAAAAGCTGAGAGTAAATGCATTGTTAGACTTCAGAGCTGGTGGTAGAAAGCACAGAGTGAGCTTCTAAACAAGGGATTTCCTATTGGCCTGCTGCACTGCTACCTGTGAGCATTGGTGTATCTCATCAGGCGAGCACAGGCTGCTGTTTATGAGGTCTCTGAAGTTCTCTGAACACGAGTACACTACAAACTGTTATTAGGAAATACAAATAGTAACAGGAAGTTGGAAATATAAAGTACTGGAGCATTAACAGGAAGGGCTGCACTCACAGTATGTGCTTGCTGTTGAGTGCATGCACTGGAGCAGTCTGCAGCATGAAAGTCTGCATTTTGGGGTTCTGAAAGCTGACAGCTTTCCGTGCAGCCGTGCTGTGTGTTGCTGTTTAATGCATGTGTGGCTGCTGGAGGGTATTTCTGCATTGTCTCAGAGCAGGACTGGGGCACTTAATGATGGGGTAGTTTTGGGGATCAGCGTTGGCAGGGAATCGTGCCTGATGTTAATGCATGTGGCTTTATTCTAAGGAGAGCTGTCAGTCTCCAGCATTTTACTTCCTTTAGACTCCCCAGAATAAGGCTTCTGATTTCCTATGAGGCACTGGAACATGCAGCCACCTTCTGACAGAGGTTCTGACCGACGTTTTATCTCTTACTGAGAGCCAGAGATGTTAAATTGAGCATAGCCATTAGGACACCAGCAGAAGGGGAACTTGCACAGAGTTTGTTGTCAGCTCGCTGTCTGTTGGCCAGCACTGCAAATGGATCTTTGTAGAGATCACTCTTTTATTAAGAGTGGTTGCACCGTTGATTACAGTTAAGTAATTATTTGAACCTCTTTTTATCATTGCATGCCTAGAATTTCTTTTTAGATTAAGAAATGCATCTTGAAAGGAAAATAGTTTCTTGAATCAACACCTGATGAGTATCTGCAAAAGTCTGAATTGGATTCGATATTGTTTTACTTGTTAATCTTCATCTTCCACATGTCACCACAGTTAATAAAGAAGTAGTCAGCGCACACCCAATGTGCTCAGAGGCAGCTTTTCTCCTCTTCATTTCAATCAACTGGGAGCTTTTATTAATAGCACTTTAATGTTACCATCATAACA